TGTCCTGGGCATGAGCCCCTAGCCAGCTTTCCTACCCTGCTGGCATAATTCCCTTGGGTCACCTCCATTTTGCATAAGCCATGCTCTGATCATTTACTAGAGCTGAGGCAAACCAGGGATTAAGATACCACACAGAGCTGAATAGCAGGCAGCAAACCAGCAGTAAAGATTTCCTAAAAATGTATCCATAAGAACCCAAACCAGCCAGGCAGAGAAGACTATAATAAATAACTGGTCCTTTAGTACATAGACATAGATGTATAACTACAAGAAACAAGAGCAAATAGGGAACCATGACCTCCCCCAAAGAACAAAGAAAAATTCCAATGACTGACTTGAATGAGACAACAATTTGTGAGTGCTCTGACAAAGCATTCAAAGAAACAGTTTTGACCAGGCACTGTGGCTCCTGCCTATAATTTTAGCACTTTGGGAGGCTGAGGCAGGCAGATAACTTTGAGGCAAAGAGTTTGAGATTAGCCTGGCAAAATAGTGAGACCCTTTCTATACAAAAATTTTAAAAAATTAGCTACATGTGATGTGCACTTACTTGTAGGAGGCTGAGGCAGGCGGATCACATGAGACCAGGAGTTGGAGGCTACTGTCAGCTGTGATCATGCCACTGTACTCTAGCAACAGAATAAGACTTCATCTCTAAAAAACAAATCAACATAGCAGTTTTAAGAAAACTCAGTGATCTCTAAGATAGCATAGAAAAGCAATTCAGAAATTTATCAGAAAAATCTAACAAAGACATTGAAAAAATTTAAAAAGGACCAAACAGTGTTAGAACTGAGAAATACATTTGCTGAACTGAGGAACTCATTAGAGGCTCTCACCAGCAAAATGACTAATTAGAGGAAATAATCAGTAAGCTTGAAGACTGGCTATTTGAAAATACACTGTCAGAGGAGAAAAAAGGAATGAAAAGAACAAGACCCTTTCAAGATACAGAAATAGATACAGAAATTTGGGGTGGCGCCTGTGGCTCAATGGGTAGGGTGCCGGCCCCATATACAGGGTGGTGGGTTTGAACCCAGCCAAACTGCAACAAAAAAATAGCTGGGCGTTGTGGTGGGCTCCTGTAGTCCCAGCTACTCAGGAGGCTGAGGCAAGAGAATCACCTAAGTCCAGGAGTTGGAGGTTGCTGTGAGCTGTGATGCCACTGCACTCTACCAAGGGCAATGAAGTGAGACTCTGTCTCTAAAAAAAAAAAGAAAAATATATATAAATTTACCTCAAGAGATCAAATCTAAGAATTATTGGTGTTCAGGAGGCTGAGGAACAAGGGCAGGAAGTAGAAAGCTTATTCAAAGAAATAATCACAAAAATTTTCCAAACTTGAAAAAGTTTTCCCCAAAACTTGAGAATCAAGTATAAATATCCAAGTACAGGAAGGTGTGAGAACACCAAAAAAAGAGTCAAGCCACACAGGTTACCCCAAGGCATGTGTTAGTCAAACTTTGAAAGGTCAGGGGCAAGAGAGGATTCTAAAAACAGCAGGAGAAATGAAGCAGACAACATAATAAAACGGCTCCGATTTGTCTGGCAACAGACTTCTTTTTTTTCTTTTTTTTTTTTGAGACA